AACTAAACTCTTGGAATATATAACATCACAGAAGCTAATAAATCTATAATACTTTCATCTGACCTGCAGTATATGTATTTTATCCCCGTCCGAGATCCGATAATTAGGTACGAGCATAAATGACCTTTTGCTCTTCTAATTATTCTCACTAACTTAAGTTTCATTTTCTTCAACAGGCCAGTGAACTAATCACAAATGTTGAAATTTAGCCGCCGCTAAACAATAAGCTCGTATTTTAACCGTTCAACATAAAATATTTAATTAGTCACTCTATTCATTTTTCAGGGGTGATAGTTCTCGACACGAATTCATGTTTTCTACTCCGCTCATTCTCAACTCATCGAGATATTTGACCAATCAAATTGATCTCACTCATTGATGAATCAAAGAACAATTAAAATCGCGAAAAGATATACATAATCTTGTCATGGGATTCAGATAAAATACACAGCGTCAAGTGGAATTAAATTCTTTGCACAGTCATACTATAGAATTAAATTCGACACACGATCCGTTCAATACACTCCAAATGTATTAGAGTCACCTTTAACTATTTCTATGATAATGACAAATTACAAACTCATATAGTGAATTGGTCAACACTACTACCTTCTAGTAGGTGTCAGTCCTTATACATAAATTGTAAACAAATTATTTATGATCAAAATATAAATTGTGTCACATTGTACTTCTCAAAACAAGTACCCAACTCATATTATCACAAGTGATCATAAGCACTTTAATTTCGCATGCTCAATAATAGATAAATACAATAAATATAGTAAATATAATTTTATTCAATATAAAAAATATTGTTATTTTTATATCAGCAAAACTATACTATATGTACACACAATCCAACAGAGTGCACCATAAAAGTGCTTTGTTTTCTCAACATTATGGACGGTACAAATTCTAAGCACATGGGCCAGAGGGCGTGCCCTCCAGTGCCTATCGGTTTGGCCCATGGATCTGTTGGACTAAATATTTGTAAATGAGTATCAGATTGACAAATATCGAATGAATATATACTGAATTGACATATATCGAATGGATATATATAATATATCGAATTTATGCATACTGTATATTTGTTCACTAATATTTAGTCCAACAAATTTAAAATAGATTCACCTCCTCACCGTAAGTACTCGAGATTTAATTCGAACGTCTGTTTTCTATGATACAACAGAGAAACGATAGAATTTGAGCACCTCAAATGCTACTCTACCGAACAATACTTGTGTTAGAACAATATCACCATAGAAATTCAGACAGGACCAGAAACTGTATGACTATGTAGTATGTAGAAAAATTATGCAAAACTGTTTTTGTAGAAGCTGTATTTTTTTTCTTCTTGTTCTTGTGTGGAATGGTAGAAATCAAGTTGCTTATATAGGCTTAACCCCATGAATGTCATTAAGTCGTATATAATGACAATGGATACAGGAATTTCGATGGTTTTGAAATTTAAACGATCAGTTGGAGGAAAAAAATTAACAAAACATAGGCTATTCTAATGGGCTAATTTCCACGTCTGAATCTTATTTCTATTCAATTTGTTCCTAGCGCACATGTAGAGAAAATCTCTATGCTACCCATGATCACACATTTTCAAAGTGCAATCCTATTCAAGGTGATATTTGCTTTCATAATTTTTCTAGGAGGGACAAACCTTAAATGGTTTTCCTCCAACACATAAGCTCCTTTAAATTAGCATACTTTAAACTCAAATTTCTCATTTACCCGAACATTATTTGTGGCAAGTAAAATACATGATTTCGATGTTCACACGAAGGAGAACATAAATCAATCTTGAATTTCCAAAATAACGAACCGAGTCCCACTCAAATTTTATGCCAAAATTAGTCACTCAATCCATTTTTTCCAACAGGATCTTGCTATATTAGGCCTCGATACTAAAGTTATTGGCCGCATGAGATTCCTTCTTTTGTTGATTTAGCCCTCGTTTGAGCTCTTTTTTAAAAATTTATTTTTTCTTAAACTCATTTTTAATTACACATTCCCCCAATAAAATAATTTTACACATGAATTTAAATTTTTCTATATTTTTTAACTACACATTTGTCAAAAAATCACTATAACAAAATTTTATCTTCCAAAAAATTGAGCTTAAACAAACCCTTTATTTTTGTTTTAAACATTTCGCTTATATGTAGACAATTATTTTTTTCCTAAAAGCCAAAAACACGCATAATTTCATTAAATAATACATCGATAAAACTTGAACTCAAGACGTTTATTAGCTCTAAAGTTATATTAAGTCACTTACAAATAAAAAAACTTAACCATATTATAGAATCATGGTTAGGTTGCCACTAGACAAGTTGACATGTCCACTTGTGTAGCTAGGCAACTCGAAGAATAAATTTTAAAAGTTATTATTTATAAATTTAGCATACTCTAGTGTCATGTATGCATATGGACGCATAGAAACCTCTTCTGGATTTTTATTGTTTGCTATTGATTATTTTAAGTTTGACTAGAAATAGTTTGGTTTAGCTTATTCTTTCTTCAATATCTTAATACGTAGATATGCCAATTATCCACATCTGGAAACAAACTGGACGCACGAAAACTACACTTCTTAATCAAGTCCCTGATTGGTGGAGATCAAAAATAAATTTTCATTAAATTTTGATAGAAGTTGATGAAATGTGTAAATAAAAAATTGTGTATTTCATGAAAATATGTGATTAAAATTAATTTTTGACTTAGATCTAGATTAAAATCTAAATTTTAATCCATACCATACAAGGAATATGGCAATCAAAGATATATATGGATGGCATTTTTTAATGGTTAAAACATATAAAATGATCATTTATTTTATTTTAATTTATAAATATCTTCCTTCCTAACTCCTACACGTCAACAGGATCCATCCAACGTGATTCTTGTTTCCCATTTTTTTTTTTTTTCCTAAACTACGACTGGCCCACGATATGATCATATTTAATTCATTAAGCTAAATAATGTTGGATTGTGATCGAGAAAATAGAAAATATTATCCATAGTTTGGTACACTTGTAAACTACTGATAAGCTATTTTTGTTGATCAATTTAATCGTTTGGTCCAATTCGAAGCATTTGAAATGGGTACAAGTTGCTGAAATTTTGGCTATTCAGATTTCGACTAGCTGCTATTAATTATAATTTAGAATTAAATTATAAGCAAGTTGCACATGAAAATGATGCAAAAAATTGAGTGATCAAATTGATTAACAGGATCAGCTATGTCGGCAGTTTGATGTTTTGATTGTTGGGATCAAGGGTGTAAACAGGTAAACAGCATTATTGATCAAACCTTTTTTTTATCCTCTTAACTTGTAGAAAAATACTAGTAGCTTGTTTGATAGGAATTAAAGGCTAATTAAAATCAATTTTTTAACCGTTATTTTACTATTTCAGTCGTCATTTTTGAAATTTTCTCTCACAAATAGAACCCATTTCTTCTCTAACGATCAAAAAATCAATTTTCAAAATTCCTACCAAACAAGTACTATGCAATGTCTAAATGACCAGAACAGCTGAAATCTTGCTCAATATCTGTTTTCAACAGGTAATTATTATTCTTAGTTGAATATCTCTCAAATAAGCTCCAATTCTTGATTAAGGACTCATTTTTTCATTCATCTTAGTACCTTTTTTTATAATAAAATTTTGACATAATGTGATTAAATATAGGATAAATATTAACAAACATTCTCAATCTTTCGCTTCATTTGCAAATTCATCCGTAAGCTTCCTTTTTTTCTTTTTTTTTGGGAACAATCGTGTTCCTAATCTTGAAAATTGGTGCCTTTAATCCAAATATGAGATGATTTCATCTATTTCTTCTTTAGTTAACCAATTTTACCAAATTATTCAAATAATAAAAAGGGTAAATGGTCAATTCATTTATTCTTTGTTAAAATATTAAAAATAATTCACTACGAAACTAAATTAAAAATGAATCAAAAAGGTGAAATAAAAAAAATTGTTTTTTTCCCCTTTTATATAGAAATATTACTTGTTTTAGTCATAGACTAATAGCGAGTTAATTGTTCCAATGATCACTGCACTTAGGTTTATATATTTGATTGGATACCGAACTTTAAAATATCGAGTTTTGGTCATTGAATTTAAGTCCGTATCTTTGATTGGTCACTAAAGTTTAAAATGTCAAGTTTTGGTCACTGAACTTAGGTCAATGTCTTCGATTGCTTACTAAATTTAGGTCAATGTCTTAGATTGCTCACTGAAATTTAAAATGTCGAGATTTGATCACCAAATTTTGGAATATGTCGTACGTTACTTAATAGCATAACTGTTGAACTTTAAAAAATATTGAGTTCACAGTGAATAATGTACAACAGTTTTCAAAGTTCAGTGAGTAATGTACAATATTTTTCAAAGATCAATGGCCAAAATTCAACATTTTAAATTCAGTAAGCAATCGAAAATATGGGTCTAAATTCAGTGATTAAATCTTTACATTTTTCAAAGTTCAGTGGTCAAAATTTGACATTTTAAATTTCAGTGGTCAGTCAAAAATATGGATCTAAGTTCAGTGATCAAAACTCGATATTTTAAAATTTAGTGACTAATAAAAAAATATGGACCTAAGTTTAATGACATTGTAACAATTAACTCACCAATAGCTCTTGAAATAAGCCACTCATAATAAAAGCTTAACAATTTGCCCCCAGGACATATCTCCCAGTGGCAAAGGGGAGGGCGGATAGGGCTCAGCGCGGGAGTGTGCAGAGTTTGATTCCCCGCAAGGTGAAATTGGCTTTGTTGCAAGCGGGAGTTATCATATGAGTTAACAGTCTTGACCTATCCATGTGCTCTCCACTCTGGCTCCTGAAAGGCACATCCTACAATTTACATCCTCCACGATGGCCTAGGATAGGATCCGTAGGGCCCCTAAGGTTGGGGTTCAACCCTTAACAAACTATATATATGCGGAACCGGTTGTCCATAATTGAACTCGGTAGTAGTTCAAATCGAATTTCCTATCACCGTCTTATCACACGAATTTTGTTGCCCGAACCGGATACCAGACCTCCGTCCAATTTCACGCACGTTTTGCTTATCGACTTTTGAGAATCTTACATTCTTCAAATTCAGAATTCTCTGAATAATCTCCATACCTGCTTGATTTTTACTTGAGATAAATCGTCGTAACTTGCATGTGAGGTCGGGATTCCGGTTGATAGCCAGATTTCGACCGCCGAGAAGTCTCTTCATCGTATCTTCCATTTCTGGTTAGAATCCATCAATCTCTCGGTTGATTTGATGTCAAAATGTTTATAAAAGGCGTCATTTTGGTTTCCCAGAAGTTTGGAAACGGTGACTGTTGGTTTACTGTCAATGGTATAATTTTTTATTAATTTGGATTTTTTAGTTTGTGCTAATTGGATTATGTGATCATTGGATAATTAGTGGGCTGACATGAAAAGGTCATTTTGAATTTTAACACCGGATGCTTTTGACGGGATTTTGAAGATTCTAGCAGTGGTATAGTTCATTGGCTGTTTTGAGCCTACTAATCTATAATCAGGTAGGTGTAAATGTGTCCTAGTGATGTTCGATTACAGGAAAACTGATGTCGAGACCAGGCATTTAATGGGTGAGGTTTACATGTTACACTGGCTTTTTCGATAAAATGCTCTGAGAGGTGTGGCGTGTCTTTCCTTAAATACATAATTTGACTGGATGAATTAAATAGTTACTCGATAACGACTTCAAATAACACTTTTTTCTTTTAATTATTGTTTCAAATTCTCATCTTTCTGATCCTCAATCATGGATATAGGTACCAATTTCCAAACTTGGGAGGCTCTAATATCAGTTAGGGGGATCGTTGTTGGATCGTGCTTGAGCCTTGAGCCGTGAAGTTTTATCAAAATGGTTTCTCTGAGTAATCAGACTCTCAATAGCATAGGAGTTTCTAAGATCTTTGAGCATGAACAGCCTCAATATTATCTTCTTTTCCACCATGAGACTAAGCTTGGCAATGGTTTTCTGGCCTTCTTGTATTTGCTGGCCCTTGCCTACTGTTTTATTGGATTATCAACTATAACTGCTCGATTTTTTCGGTCTATGGAAAATGTCGTTAAGCATACTCGGACAGTGGTGGAAATAGATCCTTGTACAAATGTCAAAACAGTCAAACATGAGAAAGTGTGGAATTATACTGTAGCAGACATCACCCTGCTAGCATTTGGGACTAGCTTTCCCCAGATCTCTTTGGCCACAATTGATGCAATCAGGAATCTCGGGAATTTGCATGCTGGAGGTTCGTTTTGCATTCATTTAAAAGGACAACTTCACAGTTTTACACCAATATTGTCTAGCCAGTCCTGTTATATTATCATAAAGACTAATTTACAGTTTTCTCACATCATCATTTACTTTAAGAGGTGTAGAGAACCTATCTTTGACCATCCAAATTGATTTTGAAAGTTAAAAACATCAATCCTGTCTTAATAACATCTATATAACTACAGCTCTTATACTGAACTCATTACATGAGACTTGTATATTGTCCATTCTTGGTTACCACTTATTGTATAGTACTGTCATTTTTCTTTATCCTCAGCACAATTACAGAACTCTAGCGTGAACTTGGGTACTCCATATTTTTCCTATCTTAATCTCATTTTTTGTTGGAAACTTGATTTGGCCATATTTTAGATGTAAAAAGTTGTTGATTCAATTTTGGCTTGATTTAATCCAGAATGTTTTCAGCAAAACATGTTGACTCCGTGAGTTCCACTGTTTTTTTTTTCTCTTTTCAGTTTTTATTTGATCTTATCACGAGAGGGCAATCTAGCAACTTCAGGAACCAATCTCAAAAACTTGTTTTGTTTGAATAATATTGAATTGTTTATCAAATTTTATTAATAGGTTTGGGTCCTGGAACACTAGTTGGTTCTGCTGCGTTCGATCTATTTCCTATCCACGCGGTTTGCGTTGTAGTTCCCAAAGCTGGAGAACTGAAAAAGATATCAGATGTTGGAGTCTGGCTTGTGGAGCTCTTTTGGTCTTTCTGGGCTTACATCTGGCTGTATATAATACTAGAGGTAATTTTCATTTTCATCTGAAACTTAACTTTGAGGGCTGGAACTTGAACAATTGAAAACCTACATCGTCATGTTATAGTATTATTTGATTAGTTCTTATATTATTATAGACAACCTTTTGCTGTTCTTTATCCCTTACTTAACTGATTTTGATTCTTCTGAGACTTTGTTTTGTATTCCAAGTCCACACAAAAGTGGTTCTCTTTCAAGTAATATGGCTGCTTCATTTGAAAACATGTTTTGAAAAGGAATCCTGATGAATTTAAGAGAATGCAACTTAAGAAATGTGGTTTTAGTCCAGATCTTCAGATGTATCTTTATGAATTAAGTAAAGAATTCGGAATTTTTTTTCCCGATTGAAGGTAATTTGAGAAAGCATATAGGAAGGATGTGTTCATTTGGGAAAAGTGGACGTTAAGTTGGGACACCCCCTTGTAGGGGGGTGAAATTGTCGAATCTGCAAGCATGTATTTTATATCTAAGATTTATAACCAACTTATCTGAGTGAAACTTCTCATGAAAATATGTTAATGTATGGATACAATTTTAACTGATCTTATGTGTGAGAGTACTATTTTCTTGTCATTATAAGATGTGAAGTACTCATTCGGTAGTTAAATCTTTATGACCTTGCAGGTGTGGACTCCAAACGTTGTTACTCTATGGGAAGCTTTGTTGACAGTGCTGCAATTTGGGCTATTGTTGGTTCATGCATATGCTCAAGACAAGCGTTGGCCTTACTTGTCGCTTCCACTGTAGGTTTTTGGTTTATTAACTCATTTTTTCCTGCCCCCATTTACTAACTTCAACAGCCGAATCTCTTCTAAATCATATCGTATTAGAGAGAGAGAGAGAGAGAGAGAGAGAATCTCTGCTTCTGACAGCACCTTTATTTATCAGAGAAAGAACTGAGAGGCCAGAAGACTGGGTACCAGCTGAGGCTGCTAAATGTGGACACGGAAACGTTGTTCGTGATGAGTCCTCTAAAATTTTTCAAGTTGATGAAGAGAACAGCAACAGCATTGTTGACATTTTCTCCATGCACTCAGAAAATGGGGCAGGTAAACCTAACTGAATGGTTAATCTTATTCACTTATCATTTCAGCACGTCTCTTTAGTTGAATAGAATTAGAAATCAACAAGAGTTAAAGGATCGCTTAAATAAATTATTGCTTAGAAAAGAGGATAGAACACAAATAGAAAACAGAGAAAGAATGTAGTGGGTGAGTTTCTTGATATGAGCTTTCTTCATAATAAGGAGCATACTCTATTTGCTGCTGTTGTCACAATTGCAATATGTCGTGACTTGTGTAATTCCCATCGCATTGACTGGTTAAATTTACCTATTCTAACATTTCTTTTACCAAGTATAACCTACAGGTCCTGCATATCAAAACTTGAGTTATACTGATGCTGATCAATCTTGCTCTGAGAATTTTCACAAGGAGTTCGTTCCTGGAGAAGATCACGTGCTTTCTATTTGGAAACAGCAATTCATTGATGCCTTAATGGTACTCTATTTTATGGTTTTTTTTCCCGTCAATCTCGTCTTTTATTGAGATATCATATTTCTTGAGCACTTGCCACATCAAATATTAACAATTTATTATTCATCTCCATCTGTCTTTCTGTAAATCTCTCTTATCTGTCAAGGTTTGGGCTGTAACTACTGTTTTGGTGG